GGTGTTGAACCCACGGGCTCAGGCAGTCCACTCACCTCAGCCTCCCAAGGCGTGGGATTACAGGCTGAGCCATCAAGCCCAGCTTCTTTGTGGCTCCTTATTATGAAGTGCCTCTTCGTCCTGATAGAGTGGTGGTAGTGGGTATCACATTCCCAAGCAGCCACCTGGACTATGATCTCCTCCTGGAAGGATATTCTCTCCCCTTCTCTATCCCTCCCCCACTCCCATCTCCTGAGCCTGCAAGTTCTGTGCCTGATCAGGGAAGGTTTAGGAGCCTTCCTGCCAAGGTTGGTACGGGCACCGAGGGCTGTGGATGGCCTCTCTCCTCCCTGCTCGCTAGAGAGAGAAGCACTTTGAAGACATCCGAGCATGCTCAGTAGTTCCTGCTCCTCACTTAAGCCCATGAAATGCAGCCTCAGCAACTGCAGTGTTGTGTCCTCACAGTGTCCTACTCTCTGGTTACACCTAAAGTTGACAGTTGCATGGTCCGACCCACACCTGCCTTTCCATTGTTCTTGTTGGCCCGGTCATCTTGCTTACAGCCCCGCCATGCCAGTGCCCTGTGAGGTGCTGCGGGATCAGGAGGCAACACTCGTAGCCGGGAGAGCTTTCCTCTCCCAAGTCCTCTGGGGAGGAAGAGAGGAGGCGGGGAAAGATAGATGGACCTGTGGGTTCCATGGAGCGTGTGGCGGTCCAGGACCTCCATGGGCACAGACTCTGCCTCCCTGCTCCTTGTGTCCTCCCTCCCCCCGGGTCTGTCCTCCTCCCTGGTAAATGTTCCATTCCCACACCTCGAAGGGCAAATCGAGCACCTTGGTGGTAAAGCACCTGCCCCCTAGGCAGAGGGTCCCTCCCCCACCATGATTAGTGCCCTGGTCCATCTGGTAGGATTTTAGCTGATTTATAGCCTGGTCCTGAAATTAGCCTCTGGTAAAAAAAATAGGGTAAAGTGACGACAGTTGCCACACTGCATCCCAACCCTGTGTGACCCCATCACTGCTGGGTTTTATGGCTAGAAAGATGACAGATCTCAGTTTGCTTGAGAAGCTTATTTTTGCCAAGGTTGTTATCACCCACAGGCGCCAGGACTCTTTCCCACTCGTAGGCCAGCCATGGTGAAACTCAATGCACCGGTGGGCTCCTCCAGTAAGAATGTCCAAAGGGAATGCTTTTCCCTCGCTGGGATCAAACTCTCGGTGCCCTTTGTGATATGTGAGCCCTCAAGGAAGGCTTGAGGGCTTCCTGGACACATTCCCAGACACAGAGAAATGTGCTGGGACTGGAAAATGGACCCGCTGTGGGCCGCCTTGGACCGGGTCTCTGGCTTTATTCCCCCAGCACCTTCCACTTCACCACACAGATCCCATCCTGTGGCAAGCTAGGACAGTATTCTCAAGGGTCCTGAAAGTTATCTCCTCCAGGCTAGGAAGAAGAGTTGGTGCTGCCATGATGCACTGCCTGCCTGAAGGACCCGCTCTTTACCTGCCCCACCACGACACGGGTCTTCCAGTGTGCCTCCTTCCTCCAGGTCACAGGCATTTCTGCTGTGACCTCGTCTCTGTGGATGTGGGCTCGGGCGCCTCTGCCTGCCCCCCCTTGCAGCACACACAAGACTTTGACATTAAGGAGGTGGGAGGACAGAGTGACAAGCGCTTTAAACCCTGTCACTCACAGGGAAGTTTCTAGAGTTTTCTTCCCTCCTCCAAATGGAAGCATTTGTATAGAGGACCTATAAGGGTCGCTCTGGCTCTGACACCCCATTAACTATGAACTTAGACTAGTTTCTAAATCTGTCTAGGGAGAAATAGGAATTGAGGTGACATTCCCTCTAAACAGTCATCACCCAACTTGGTTTTTCTGCAGCTGCCTTTCACCCTAACCCATGGCATGTGCCCTGAGCTGTCTCCAGCCCTAGCCCCTGCCCCTGCCCAGCCTTTCTAGAAATGCGAGACTTGGTGTCTCAATAATGAGGCTTACTGTAAAGCAGAAAATGGGTTCGTTTCAACCTAGCTTCAACTTCCTGTGTCTTGACCAGGTCATTCTTCAGGATTACTTTCCCCGCTTCTCTCTCCCGTCTCCTTTTCAAGATGTCAGACACAAAGGGGTAGAACATTCTATCTAGGTTGTTGCTATCTTAAGAATGTGAGCTTTGGAGCCAAATGTCTGGGGTCAGTTCCTGCTTCTGCTGCTTACTAACTGTGTGCTTTGGGCAAATTACTTAACCTCTCTATGCGTCCATTTTCTCAGCTGTGAAATCGTGTATCATCTCATAGAAGCACCTATCTTTTTGGGGTTTTGTGAGAAGTAAATAGCCTGATCTAGAATGGTGCCTGGGACGTCCTAGGTCGACATGTCAGCTGTGATGAGGGTGATGATGACAATCATGATCATGATGACCTCATGGTCGTCATCCTGAGGTAGCAGAGGGTGGTGGAAAGAACGCCAGGCTCGGAGCCTAGAGACCTGGCTTCAGGTCCCAGCCCCACCGTGCGCTGGTGGCATGGTGAGGACTCCAAGCCTCAGAATGTCCCGGGTTTTGTGGCTGCAAAACTGAGGTGCAAACGGTATTTCCCTGCAGGGCAGTGGAGACATCCAGAACAACAAGGCCAGGAAGCCATGTCACCCCCACGCCCTGGGCTAACTCTGCTCTCTGTCTCTCTCTTTGCAGGCACACATTCTGGCAGTTCCGCCATGAGAACCCCAAGACCAAGGTTGGGGGCCCGCTTCCCGAGGGGCTTCCTGGCTTCAACAGCGGGGTAATGCTGTTGGACCTGGAGGCCATGCGCCAGTCTCCACTCTATGGCCGCCTGCTGGAACCGGCACAGGTGCAGCAGCTGACCGACAAGTACCACTTCCGCGGCCACCTCGGGGACCAGGACTTCTTCACCATGATCGGCATGGAGCACCCCGAACTCTTCCACGTGCTGGACTGTACCTGGAACCGGCAGCTCTGCACCTGGTGGAGGGACCACGGCTACAGTGACGTCTTCGAGGCCTACTTCCGGTGCGAGGGCCACGTCAAGATCTACCACGGGAACTGCAACACCCCTATTCTGGAGGACTAGGCACGTTCTCTCCCACCTTGCTCCTGGTGCCTCTGGATCTAGAAGAAAGACAGGGGCTCCTCAAGACAGACCCCGGGGCAATGTGAGAACTGCTAGGGAGACACTATGGGGCCATTCTCTGTGACCAAGGTGCTGAAGAGCTCCCGCCTGCTGGACACTGTTCTGGCCACCCACTGAGGACTGGCCTGTGTGTTGGGTGCTCGGGACCTTCTTCCTCCAGGGGACTAAGGCGTCATGAAGGACAATAACACAATCACATTCCAGTGGGCTGGACAGCAAGCACTTGAAGAGAAGGAAGGAAAGAAAATGGTGCCCCTTGCCGTCCACCCCCAAGGAATGGAAATCCTTCTAAGAATGGCCTTTCTTGGACCATTATACATTTAATTTAAATTGGCAGGCTTCCATTTGTGCGAAAGAATAAACAGGACTACTGTAGTTCCCGGTGAACCCTAGGCAAGAAAGCCAGGATTTTAACAACCAGCCCTGAGCTGAAGCATCAGGATGAATGCTGGCCCTCCACATCCTTACCCAGGGGGCTGTGAGCTTGTTCTCCTGATGCATCTGGCGTAGGGTGAAAGGTTGCTCCTCTCTGGAGACGGCCTTCAGGGCCAGCTGGGGCCCATGCAAGAAAAGCAGTCTCATTATTGTAGCCTTCACAGCTTTTATCTCCCAGCTCTGTCACAGATCCCCCACTGACCCTCATTCATCCAAGCCAACTCAAGCAACCAGACAGCACTCAGAGAACAAACCCACTATTAGAGAACAGAGATTGGCTGCCCGCAATGACACGTAGAAGAATTGTCTGGACTGGGAAGACTCATTCCCAGGAGCAGCCCAGAAGTTCTTGAATGTGACTGTGTGGGCTCAGGAAGGGTGTCACTCATGGGCTTTTAAGCATTCGGGTTTCTTTGTTTAAAAAAGTCATCCTCACTACTATTGTACCACATCAGCCCCTGTACCTTAGCAGAAATTATAGTGTCATTTCTTTCTCTTTTTTTTTTGATAGGGGCTCCTATAAGTGAGCTGCAGACACGAAATCCCTGGTGGTCCCTTTCATATGGTCCAACTGAAGTCCTTGGGGGAGAAATGTGGTAGCATTTTCATCTTTGTTTCCGTTTCATTTACTTTTTTATATATTTTCATCATGAGTGAGAATAGCTAATAAATAATCTTTGAAAAAACAGTGATTCTTATTGTGCATTCTGTGACCACAGTTTTTGGCTACATGGAGGTTCTGAATCAGGAGTGTAATGGGTGTTACCCAAAGCCCTCCCATGATTAAGCTCAGTATGCCCACAGGGGGTCTCAGGGCCAAAGGGAGTGTGTGTCCAAGAGCCAGCAGGGAGGGTAGTATCATTGTGTTTGGCTCAAAGCAGAGAGTCTAGCACCCATTCTAGGTACTGGTGGCTGGTCTATGCTGGGGAGCACAAACAACCCAGCCTCCTCATCCTCTTACCCCCCAGACTGCCAAGCTACGACATCCCCTGGCCACGTGCAGCACATTTCCCTCCTGGCCCTCTGTTGGGACAGAATCAGCCTGTTCCCTTGCTCACTTGGTTTCCTATTTATGGCTGCCAATTACTGAATGCCTGCTGGTGCCAACTATTGCATTGGGGGATTTGTGTGTGCTATTAAGAATATTCATGGACATCATTCCATTTCTGAAGTTTGCTATAAGAAAATATGAGAGATGTGGACAGAGTCATATACTACATGTTTATCCCAGCTTTTTTTATAATAGGAAAGAATGGGAAGCAACTTAAAATGCTGAAGAGAGAAGTGGATATATAATGTGCATCATGTTCATATAATGGAACACTTTGGGCATTAAAAATCCTATTTTTAAAGAATATTTAATGCCTCAGGAAATGCTAACAATGTGCTGTTAAGTAATGAATGCAAAATATAAGATTATATGTTCAGTATGATCCTAATTTTAAATTATATATGTAAGTGTGTATGTATACAAGTGTACACATATGTATGGTATATATAGAGATGTATACATACCACACATATGTGTTGAAAGAGAGGCAGGAAGATCACTTGAAGCTAGGAGTTCAAAACCAGCCTGGACAACATAGTGAGACCCTGTCTCTACAAAAATCATAATAATGATAATAAAATAAAAAGAGAGTCTATCCTGCTATATTTCATTAGTTCAACACCTAAAGAAATCATGTGTTTGAAACTACATTGTTTTTAAAAGGTCATTTCAGTGGGGAAAAAATGGGTTAAAGCCTAGAGAATTTTAGACTCACAATAACAAAGGTATTTTTCCGCCATAATTTCAATAATTAAAGTGTTTCTATAACTATGTGCATATTTTGTTATTGCAAGGGAAAAAAAACAATAAACTGGTCAGGCAAAATGGGCAAAAGCCAAACAACATCCCCTCATTAACTTTGGAGTTCACCTCCTCAGGAGCTTCCCTCTGTCACCAGTGGCCTTGACCTTCCAGCCCCATAGGGAACAGCAAAATACCACTGCACAGGAAACCTGGCCCAACTGACCCGGCCCAACTGACCCAGCAGCATGTGTCCCTGTGCTTTACCACAAGCAGCTTTGTGACAGGTTGTGAGTGCTGACTCTCGAGAGGGCTCTGTCACCATCAGTGTAATGTAAGCATGAGAGCTGTGCTAGGCTGTTTGCTTCATGAAAACATCCGCTGTCAAGTATATTCCTGCACATATGAGGAGGACAGAAATCTGGAAAGATAACACTTCTGGGTGCTAGGACCAAGGTGCTTTTTATCTTCATCTGTATCTATTTCTGTATTTTCCACAGTGAATATTAATTACTTTAAACAATTGTTTTAAATTTTTAGTAGAGACAGGGTCTTGCTATGTTGCCCAAGGCTGGTCTTGCTTCAAAGGATCCTCCAGCTCTGGCCTTCTAAAGCACAGGGATTACAGGCGAGAGCCACTGGACCAGCCTAGTTGCTTTTGTAATACATGCTGTACATTTTTAATCGCTATGCCTTCTCCCCAATTCTAGGTATCATACTGGATATTTTATAGCTCCTGGCTGGCCATGGTGGACATCACTCATAAGAAAACATCATCTAGCTGGGTACAGTGGCTCACACCTATAATCCCAGCACTTTGGGAGGCTGAGGCAGGACGATTGAGACCAGGAGTTCAAGACCAGCCTGGGCAACATAGCCAGAACTTGTCTCTACAAAAATAAATAATAAAATAAATTAGCTGGATGTGGTGGTACACACCTATAGTCCCAGCTACTCAGGAGACTGAGGTGAAAGGATCGCCTGGACCCAGGAGGTTGAGGCCGCAGTGAGCTGTGATCATACTACTTCCCTCCAGCCTGGGCAACAGAGTGAGACCTCAGCTCAAAAAAAAAAGGAAAAGAAAACACAATCTAGGCTGTCAGTTCTGCGACCTCAGCTTTCCCAATGGGTGCCCTAGTTCTCTAAATAAAAGTCATCTAATAATAGTAACTTCCTTGCTTTCGTTTCTCAGATGTTGGCATCTTTTGTGTGTACACAAAGTCCACCCTACAAATGATAATGTCCTTTTGGAAAGTGTGCAGCCTTATTGAGGAGATTTATTCTATGTGTGTCAAGGCAAACAGACTACAGCCTCTTCAATGGCATCTCATCAAGCTGACGAACAGCGGCATGTTGGTTCGGTGGGCACCCAACCGAGGCACACCAGGAGTTTGTAGGCTAGGGTAGTAAGGGCAGCTGTAACTTGCCACCTGCTTTATCTAAAGACCAAAGCTCTGCTCATTGTAACACTTCCTGGCTCATCTTAATATGTGAGGCCCAGAGGTTAGGCTAAATCTGGAGTGAGGCAGGGAGCAGACATTTCCAAGCAAGCAGGAGGGGCAGTGGGGAAAGCCCCACACCAGAGACAGGGGCCTACCTTTGAGTCCATGATCTGCCCTCCCTACATGGGCAACCTGGAAGGCAAGTTCGTCTCTTTCCCCAAATCTAGACATAGGTTATAAAAGCTCCTGCAGAGGAGTATTGTAGAAGGAAAAGAGATGTGTAAGGGCTTGGTAAACTGTGAAACGATGTGAGGGAATTCTGATGATTAAAATATTCCTTTTATTTTTTTTTTTTGAGTCAGGGTCCCACTCTGTTGCCCAGGCTGGTGTCCAGTGGCAGGAGCATGGACTTCGACTTCCTGGGTTCAGGTGATCCACCCACCTCAGCTTCCCAAGTAGCTGGGACTACAGGCACATGCCACTGAGCCCAGCTAATTTTTTTTTTTTTGTGGTAGAATTGAGGTCTTGCTATGTTGCCTAGACTAGTCTTGCACTCCTGGGCTCAAGTAGCCCTCCTGCCTTGGCCTACCAAAGCACTGAGATTATAGGTGTGAGCCACCGTGCTTGGCCAAAATATTTTTTAAATAATAAATTACAGCCATTTGGGGGCTCATGGAATATGTTGGTCACATCTCCCTAAGTCCAGTAGATGAACAGATGCTTGCTTGTGGGCTATCTTATTTTTTGCTAGCCACATCTCTCTACAGAATCCTGGGTGTGTCCGGCAGGTCAGGGGCTACCTCAGCTCACATGTGACTTACTGGGGGTGTCCAGGAGGTGGAGGCAGGGATACTTTGGCTCACAGGTAACCTGTCAGGAGTCCTTGGATAAACCTTTTTGCTCTCCAGGCCTTGGTTTCTTCATTTGTAAAAACAAGGGGGGGTGGTCAGGGATTGGACCAGATCTCTGGGTAGTACCCCTGCGTTAGCTGTTTGGAGCAATAGATGTTTCAGATGCATCCAACAGGATTCACACATGCATAGAGCAGGGAGGTAAAATCAAATACAAAACCCCCAGACCTCCACTCATTATTCGCCAACTTGGAATTTATGACCATCCAAACTGAAACTCACTCCCAATTTACTGTTAGCACCCCCCCCAGCTCCCTACCCCCTCCCACCACCGCCATTCTGGATAAAAGTGAAGGATGCAGGCAAACTGTGGAGGGATATTTGAAATCCAGAGAGAATCAACTGCCTCCCAAGAGCCCCAGACCCCTGATGATTTTTAACATTTATTTAATTTTTGAATCGGGCTCTCGCTGTGTTACCCAGGCTGGAGTGCAGTGGCATGATCATGGCTCACTGCAGCCTCAACCCCCTGGGCTCAGATGATCCTTCTGCTTCAAGCCTCCTAAGTAGCTGGGACTACAGACACATGCCACTATGCCCAGCTACTTTTTTTATTTTTTGTAGAGATGAGATCTTGCTATGTTGTTCAGGCTGGTCTTCAACTCCTGGACTCAAGGAATCCTCCCACCTCAGCTCCCCAAAGTGCTGGGATTACAAGAGTGAGTCACCATGGTTGGCTCCCCTCTGCTTATGATCCACTGGTGGCTATGCCAGCTAAAATCTTGTCTTAGCTTTTGGCATGTGTGACTGCTTCTTTGGGAGCATTTGGGGCTTCCCAGGCAGACAGACCCATACCCCCACCAGCTGTGCTTTGGAAAGTGCTGAATCACAAGCCCCAGCCAGGGAGACCAGGTCAAGCTGCCCCACAGGGCATGTTGAACAGACTAGCAGAGGCTTGCAAAGGACAAAAAACCTAGAGTGAAGTGAGGCTGCCTTCATGGGGGCTGGCTCCGCTCCCCGAGCTTCTCTACTCGCACCCCCATTCTGAGGGGGCAGAGGTGCCCCCACCATGCAGATACTTAGCAGCCTCAGAACCTCAGAGCTGGAAGGGCCTTTTCCTCTTCCAAGGCCAGCCGCCCTACTCCCTCCAGCCTCCCTTCCTGAGACTAGGAGTTTGCTCCAGCCTGCACCTGAGCCCCTGTGCAGGACCACGTGGAGCCTGCCAGCCTTCCTGGCCCCCATGTGGAGCAAGATAATGACACTCTCTGCTTCGTGATCCATGTCCACCACCACCACTCACTGTAAGGACCGCTCTCTATTCATTTGTCATTCCCTTTTATTACTGTATCGTGCTCCCAGCTCCCACCAGCCAGTCATTCTAGTGCATCTCTTTCTCACACTGACAGAAATCCACAGAGCCTTCAACCATGTACCTACCTCAGGAACCCTGCGTGGACATCCCAGTCCTTGTTGCTTACAGACCAGGTAAGAATTTGTGTTGTATATCCAGGAACAAAGGTAGACAGATGCTTGATTTTTGACTAAATGGTGCCAACTACTATCCCAAGATTGCCCTCCCCCTCACTTTCTTGCCAACCCCGTG